AGCTGGGGTCAGGATGGTGTGTCTGTGCTGATCAAGACCCTTTGCCCCCCACTGGGGGTCCATGTGGGGCTGACATTCCCTTGCCCACTGACCAGACCACCCTGGCTGGGGTCACCCAGAGGATGGGCATCTTTTTCTGTATCTGAAGGAACCATCCAGGCACCAAAAATTGTGAGGGTGGGAGTTGATCTCTGGAAGAGAAAGGCATGGCGGATACTCAGCATCCTTTCTGCCTGATGACTCAGGAATCACCTGTCTTTTTCCACCCCCTCATTCCATGGGGTCCACAGGCCCGAGGACCCCACGCCTGGTCCGTGCCCAAGTGCCCGGGCTGGTGCCAACTCTCCTGCTCCCTTGCTGTGTGCTCTCAAGGACCCCGCCCCGGGCGGGGATGAGCCCAGCTCCCAGGATGCCCACGTGCCCGCACTGCTGTGTGAAGCCCCTTCTCACTGGGTCCAAAAAAGACCCTCTTATCATCTCAGCCACAGGGGTGAGCGCTGGGGGCACTCGTCCTCCAGCCCCAGCCCCCCACCCCAGTGAGACCCGAGCAGCCTCTGGGGAGGCTCCGTGAGAATGCGGCCCCCACGGTGAGCCAGACACTTAGGAACACGACCCGCGGAGCCCCCAAGGCCCCTGCAGGGGAGAAGCTCTCATCGCCCCCGGCTGAGGACGGGGGCTAGCGGCCAGCTGGCGCTCAGCGGGCCATGATGACCCAGGACGGAAAGCACGGGCTGGGGTGTGCAGGAAGGCCGGCCCCACTGCACGCGTGTGACCTGTGCACCCCGCAGAGCGGCCAGTGCCCCTCAGAACGCAGGTGCCCATGAGGAGGGCGCTCTGCGCTCGGCAGGCCTTCCAAAATACTGCGTCAACGTGGCAACCAGAGGCAGCACCTGGAAAGTGTCATCTTTGGACACATGGGACAGGTGAGTTGGGGACCCCCAAAGAGCTCCCTGAATCTGGAACTCTCCTCTCCCCCCAAATCTCATCCCCACCTGGTCTGAGCACCTCATGTGGCTTCCATCACCCTCCATCACTGAGCCTGCTAGAGGTGGGCACCTGAGCCAGGCAGGTGTGCCCAGATGGGAGGAAGCTCAAGGAGGTCCCACAACTTTCAAAAGTGCCCTGGGTGGCAGGTCAGATGCCACTGCAGGTGCCCATCGTCCCCTCCTGGAGGATTTGGCTGCAGCCCACCACCCCTCGTAAAGGAGCCCCCACCCTGGGGCTGAGCCCACTTCTGCCAGGCATGCCCCCCACCCCCACCGTGGGCTGGGATATAAATTAAAATTCAATTTCATTAAGCCAGTGAGCAATCAATCCCTGGCTCTGGCTAACAATGCTGGGCAGGGGGCCTCTCTTCCTCGGCGGCCGTAATTCACCCGGCCTCCCCCGCTCTTGTTCGCAAACTGCTAGAGCTGCACTTTCCGCCCAAATTTATGGCGCTGGCAGCGTCTGGGCCTGAGTTACAGCTGCAGGTTTGATCGGGGACTGCATTATTCTGCATCTAATCCTCATGCCCTGACAGCCAGGGAACGGCCTGCTGCTCCCCCAGTACTGGGCATTGTTCTCCGGCCGGCCCGGAGCTGGGGGCGGCCTGGATGCTGGGCCCAGGTCCTAGCCACCCACGCCCAGGCAGAGACCCGAAATCAGAGAGCCCCACCCACGTGGGAGCAAACAGCTGCAGAACACTTGCCCATGTCGTCCCGTAAAGGAGGGCAGGGAATCCCATTTTTCAGATCAGCAAACCGAGGCACAGAGTTAGGTCACCTGCCCAGGAGATCTGGGCCTCACTGCTCAGCCACTGGAACACCCAGTGTCCATGGGTGCCCGCCACAGCCTTGCTTGTCAATGTCCCCCAAAAGAAGAATTCAGCAGGACAGAGAGAGAAGGGAGCCCACGGAATGCCAGGCTCGTGAAGCAAGCCAGGCAGTCCAGGGTGTCCCGAGGGGCACAGATGGCCAAGATGAACTGTCACGTGGAAGACGCTGTGTGTGACGCGTGGGCAAAGCATGCAGGCGTCCACGTGTGCGGGCTTGCGTGCTCACAGAACACCCGGGGCTGGAGATGCCACGGTCCCCAGGGCTCACCTCTGGGTTTAGGGACGGAGGGAGCAGAGCAGGGCTCACCTCCCGCCAGGCACAAACCTGAGTGCTGCCATGAGCACATAGCACCCCTGTAAGGTAAACACCACAAAGCTTCCCTCAAGGCCCACATCCCCGCCCGCAGAGCACCTGGCTGCATCTGGAAGCTGGCACACCCCCATCTGGGCTTCAGGTGTTCGTGCGGATCCGCAGGAGGAGGGCTCAGCAATTCATGCCCCCCATGACACTGGAACCCCTGGGCACCTCCCACAAGGACTGGGGCACCCAGCGGCCTCCCTGTCCTCTGACCACCCCGGCTGGCTTTGTGGCCGGAGGGGATGCTGATTCGGGGACTGCAGAGTCTCGGGGGACGTGGGGATCGGCCAGAGGCGGAAGCCCCGCGCAGGCAGGAGGCAAGTGCGGCCCTGAGGGAGCATCTCCCAACCTCTCAGAGATGCTGCGAGTCCTTCGTCACCATTTCTGCTCCAGCTGCCCGCCAGGCCTCCGCTTCCACCCACAGCCTCTGAGAAGCGGGCTGATGGCTCCCACCGCGTCAGGGAGTTCTCAGAGCGTTGCATGCCCAACTTTGGGGTCCATAGCAGGTGGTTCCTTTCCCATTTCCTGTTTTTCTGTTTGGAGAACCTGTATTTAACAAAAGTCTCTTTTGCATCCCTGAGCCCTACAATTTCCAGATAGGATCCCTGCCTCCAGGGACTCAGGGCTCAGAAGAGAAGCAGAACCAAGAGTGTGGAGGGTCATGCCAGGGCGAGCCCACGCCGGCCTGGGAAGAGGTCCAGGCCTCAGTGCCTCGGCCAGGAGTGCTCCGGGGAGGGTCTCACGACGGGGGTGCCACGCACCGTCCCTCTCTCTCCATCGTGGCCTCCGCCCGCCTGAGTCCAGGCCACCATCACTTCCGGCTGGACACAGCAGGGGTGTCCTGCCCACACCAGCTCCCTCCACCCCACTTTCCTCTCTGACATCTCTGGGGTCCTGTGTGTCCTTTGGAAGGAGGGGTGAACCTCGTCCTCTCCCTGAGAGCGAAACCCCCGGTAGGGATCGAGGATGCTCCTTGCTTGCTCACAGGGCTTCTTTGTGAGTTGAAATGTATTTTTCTCATTCCTAATTAACTCCCTGCCACCCCGCTTGCAGGAAAGCCTGATTTATTCCAGCCTTTCTGTATGCAGGGGACGGGTCATTTAATCTCAGCCAGCGCGGACTCCGACACACCGTCTCCATGAAATGCAGATCCCTCATCCCGTTAGCATCCTGCCAGCTCGCTTCCATCTTCCCACTGTCCACAAGCCCGGCCGTCCCAGGCCGCGGCGGCTGTAAATCACAGTCTCTCTTTTCCTAATGCACCCTCTGCCCTTCGGCGCACCTGTCAGCAGGACTCTGAGAGCAACAGCTGGGTCCTCACGCCCGTGGGGAGGCCCTGGCGGCTAACCCCCTGGGAAGCCAGGTGCTCTCACAGTCTGGCCCCCGCAGCCAGGCCCAGAGCCCTCCACCTGGGAGCCCCAGCAGCCCAGCTCCAGGGCCGGTCAGAGGCGGCTTGGACCCTCAAACAAGGAGCAGCGCGAGCAGTGTGGTGAGTTAGTAAGAGAAGGAAAAAATGAGACTCCCGACCTGAAAGGTTCCCCAATTTCTGTAAGGTCAATACTCCTCTCCATGGCCTTGCGCCATGCTGCTGCTGAAGGCAAAGTTGAGAAGATATACTCACTGAGCCTCAGAGACTGGTCCAAGCAAGCTCCACTGGGTGGGAGGGGGGTGGGGGTACACCCCCAGCCCTCACCTCTGGGGGTACAGTTCTGAGGAATGTTCCAGAAGACTCATGAAGGTCCACCAACAAGCCTGAACCCCCAAAGCCCACAGCTGTGAGCCCCTCGGTGTGAGCTGAACTGTGTCCCCCCAGAAGATAGGCTGATGTCCTAATTTTTGGAGCCTGTGTTTGGGACCTTATTTGGAAATAAGGTGTTTGCAGATGGTAATTAGTTAAGATGAGGTCGCTCGGGCATAGGGAGGGCTTGAATCCAATGACCAGCATCTTCGTAGGAGGGAAGCTGGGGCACACAGAGGGGAAAGCACCACATGAAGACACATCCAGTGGCTCATCCAACCCGATGACTGGCATCTTTATAAGACAGGAGCTGGGGACACGGAGACGGCAAGCCACGTAAAGACACACTCGTTGGCTCAGTGGGAGGAAGGGGACATTTGGGCTGGGTACGAAAGGGTAAATAGGATCCTGACAGACAGAAGAAGAGGGGGTGGCGGGGTCCGTTTCCAGGAGAGCAGGGACAAGCCCAGGAGTGCCAGTAACTTTCACAGCAAGTGTTTAGCTTGTTTCAGAAATTGTGTGCAGGGCAGGATGGTCTTGACCAAAGCATGCCGTTACCATAGCACCCAGAGAAGCATCTGGTGTTGCATGAACACCCTCCCCTGACTGCAAACAGATGGATGGATTTCTTTTCTGGAACAATGAGCCTCTGAGCTCTATTTCGTGATGACAACCACCCAGGTGGTTTTTGACAAGTCCTAAGTTGGGTCCCCCAGACGAAATTTTTTTCCAGAGGTGTTGAACTACATTCTTCACAGTCCAAAGGCCCTGGTGCACTCAGCCACCCTCCAGAAGGTGAACCCAGACCAAGCCTGTGGACATGAGTTCCCACACCCACGAAATGCAGATGCCCTGGGTCAGTGATGTTTCTCGGACTTGACTGGGCATAAGAATCACCAGGAAAGCCCAAATAATGCCGATCCCTGGACTCTGTCTCCAGGATTCTGATTCCACCATGGGACCTGACATTATGCATTTCTCCTAAGTGCTCAGGTGATGCTGGTTCTGTTATACCACAGATGGCGTTTTGAGTAGCTTTGGACTCCAATCCTCCCCCCGGTTCCTGCCTGGATGTCTCCAAACCCCACCCGGAAGAGAAGGTTCTTAGACGTCATCAGTGGCTGCGCCACCATGCCGTCCTGCCAGCAGGAGGTGAGTCCCGTAGCTCTGCCTCCTGGCATCATCCACACGGTTTCGCAGTTACCATTCTAACAGGTGTGTCTCTCCTGGTGTCTCCATCTGCCTTTCACTAGTGGCTAATGACAGTGAATGCCTTTTCATGTCCTGACATGACATCCAAATGTCATTTTTAGGAAAGTGTCTGTTCAAATCTTCTGCCCACTTTTTATGAGGTTGTTTGTTTTCTTGTTCATGAGTGTTGAGAGCTCTTTGTATATTCTGGATACAAGTTCTTAATCAGTTAAATGTTTGGCTGCAACCTCATGTTCAGAGGGTGGTTTTTCCAGTAGTCATGTAAGGATGTGAGAGTTGGAGAATTGATGCTTTTGAACTGTGGTGCTGGAGAAGACTCCCAAGAGTCTGTTGGATTGCAAAAAGATCAAACCAGTCAATCCTAAAGAAAATCAATCCTGAAAATTCATTGGAAGGACTGATGCTAAAGCTGAAGCTCCAATACTTTAGCCAACTGATGCAAAGAGCCAACGCACTGGAAAAGGCCCTGATGCTGGGAAAGAGTGAAGGCAAAAGAAGAGGGTGGCAGAGGATGAGGTGGTTAGATGGCATCACCGACTCAATGAAAATAAGTTTGAGCAAATTCCAGGAGATGGTGAAGACAGGGAAGCCTGGCGTGCTGCAGTCCAGGGGGTCGGACATGCAAAGAGTCGGACACGACTGAGCGACTGAACAACATTTTCAGACCAAGGCCCAGGACCCAAGGGTGTGTCTCTGGGTACCTCAAAGTCACAGTCAATTAAAGCAAACCTGCACTGGCGACCAGTCAGTGGTGTGGTCAGAGCACTGAGGCCCGGTCTGGGGAAGAGCCAGTAGGGGGGAATCTTGGGCATCTGAGAGGAGTTGATGAGTCCAGTTTGGAAAGAAAAAGAAAAGAATGTGCTGGGAGGAGAGAACACTGTGGACCCGCTCTGTCCAGGATGGTAGTCGCTGGCCCCAGGCAGCTAGTGAGCACATGACATGTGGCCTGTGAGACAGAAGAACCATGTTTTTTATTTCATTTAATTTTAATTTTAAAACTGACCCAGGATTCAATTACTGGGCACCTTTTACGTATATTTGGCCAACTCGTGCATGCTAACCTACTTTTGAAACTATTTTATGAAGTCTCAACACAAATCAGATATTGCTGGTTAAAAGGTAATGTTCAGGTTGAGATGTGTTGCACTTTTAAAAGTCTCTGCACTTCAGAGACTTCACAGGAAGAACTTAAGCTATGTCACCTATAACTTTGATACTGATTCCATGTTGAAATGATGATATCTTGCACCTATTCGGTTAAAAGAAATATATTCTTATACTTCCTTCCACCTGTTTTCATAATAAGGTGAGGAGACAGTTTTAGGTCATCTACATGGTTTCCAGGGCTTCCCCTCAGATGGTTTAGAATCTGCCCACGATGTCTGAAACCCAGGCTCAATCCCCAGGTTGGGAAGATCCCCTGGAGGAGGGCATGGCAACCTACTTCAGTATTCTTGCCTGAGAATCCCATGGACAGAGGAGCCTGGCGGGCTACAGTGCATGGGGATGCAGAGCGTCAGACATGACTGAAGCAGCTGGGCGCGCACGCACATGGCTCACGTTAGGGCATTCTGAGTCTGAGGTCAGATCTGCTCTAGGGGCCGGAGCAGAAGCCCAGCGTGCTGGCAGCATGTACTCGCGGCCTGGCACACACCTGCCCCAGCCCAGGCGTCCAGAGGTTAGGGAGGAGGCCACGCCCAGTCACGTGGGACAGGAGCCATTCAGGCGGACCAGGTGGAAGGACTTGGAGCATTAACACACGTGATACACAAACACACACACACACACACACGTGCACACACCTCCTTCAGACCCTCCCTGCTGGGCAGGCAGCTGTCCCCTCAAGGCAGAGAATGCAACATCTTGACCATTTTTTTTTTAATGTGGTTCTAGAAAGACATGGGAAGAAAATCAGATCCTGAGAACACCCCGATTCTCCCCGCTCTCAAATGAGACGGAGCTCCTCCCTCGGGGGATGAGGTGAGGCCCAGGGGAGGATGTGCCTGGGGCTCTGAGAGGGGTCCTGCAGCCTGGCCCCCTCAGGCAGGGAGGGCGCAAGAAGCCCCGAGAGGCTGGACACCCGAGGAGAGATGGAGCCCAGGAGTGGGTATGTGGAGGCTCACGATGCTGACAGGGAGGAAGCTGGCAGCGGGGCAGAGGTCAGACCATGCCGGTGAGCCGACCGACGCAAAGGAAACACTCCCCTCGGAGGACAGGCACCTCGGGGCCGACACCTGGAGCAGACGGGTCAGGAGTGGCCGCTGCCTTCAGGGGACACCGGCACGGGCGTGGGGCGGTGAGCACCAGGTGCCTCCCCAGTGCTAGTCCCCATCGTTGTTGTTCAGTCACTAAGCCGTGTCCGAGTCTTTGCGACCCCGTGGACTGCAGCCCGCCAAGTCCCTCTGTTCATGGGATTTCCCAGGCAAGAATACTGGAGCAGGTTTCCATTGCCTTCTCCAGGGGATCTTCCTGACCCAGGGATCAAACCCCTGTCTCCTGCATTGGCAGGCAGGTTCTTCACCACTGAGCCACCTAGAAGCCTGTAAGCCCCCATAACCCCCTAGAATGTAGCTGTCACTTCAGGTGGAAGGAAGCTCAAAGGGACACCCCCAAACTGTATGAGTCCCAGTGACCCTGTTTACCTGGAATTGGCCAAGATGACATTATCTGCCGGCAGTGAGGACAGCTCCGTGGCCACAGGGCTGAGTGACAGAAGCACACAGGCCTGGTTCTCTTCCCCTGAGTCCGAGCAGTGGGAAATGCATGCCCACTGCCCGGGTGACCACTTCCTCCCCACAAGGCCGGGAAGCTTCCAGATCTCAGCCGTGTGGCTGAAGGCAGTAGTGGCCACACCCCTGGGGCTTAGCACCCCGAGCTAAGACCCTGCAAAGGGAACAGGGCCAGCTGCCTTGGAGGTGTGTCGGAGGCTGGCCTCATTCCTCGGGGCTGGCTGAGTGTCCAGGGAGGGAGGCCTGAGCTGGGGGTGTTGGGCGGCTGATGAGAGCCCTTGCACACGCAGCCTTCCCAGAACGGCGGAGGCCGAGGCTGGGGGCAGGAGCAGTGGGCAGTGGTAGAGCTGCAGGATGAATCGAAGTGACTGTCACAGACCTCCCAGGCCTGGCTCCAGCGCCCCTTCCCCAAGGCCATCCTGCTCCCTCACCTACAGCTGCCCCAGGCTGGGGAGGGAGGCCTCTCAGCCCAGCCCTCGACGCTGGTCACAGATCTCTGGTCCTGGAGGAGGGACTCCGGGCGCGAGTGAGGACAAATGTGGCCTGGAGATGCTGTCTCTGGCTCACAGATGACATTCCCCCCGCCCTCTGCAGCTGCAGTTCTGGAGGCCCGCGCTGGGTTTCCTGGTGTGGTGTGAGCGACCCCTGGTGGTGTTAAGTGGGAACTGCAAGTCCTGTTCTCCGGGGTACCAGGGACACCCCCTCCAGCCGGCACTCCATCCTCTATGGGCCACGGTGAGACCGCCCCTGAGCACCTGCCTGAGGACTTCGCACAGAGGCAGCAAGGTACCGCTACGGGGACCACACCGCCCACTCAGGTGGCATTCATCCTCCCACCCCCCCCATATTGAGTGTCTGCGTGCAGGGCATTTGGGGTAGAGGTGTGTGCCTGGCTTCACGGAGCTCACACCACCTTGGGGGAGGTAGAGAAGCATAAGGTCGGGGCTTTTTCACATGCAGCCCCCTCAGCTGCAGTGTCTTTCCCACTTCATCCCCCTGACAAATCCCAGAGACCCTTTACAGCCAAATTCAAGCGTCGCCTCTCCCAGGAAGCCTACCTGGATACTCCATGGGCAGAATCGGCCCCCTTGCCCCTCCCCATGTTAACTCATGCACCTTGTATGGACTCTTCCAGAAGGAAAGCGAGTGGGGTGAGCCTGAGCACTGGACTTGGAGTTTTGGGGACCTCATGTCTGGACCCAACCGTCACTTCCTACTTCTGTCACCTTGGGTGCCTTTCCTAGCCTCAGCTTCCTTGCCAGTGAAAAAAAGGGACTTGTAGTATCACGCATCTCCTGGATGTGAACATTTAATGCTTTCATGTCAGTAAATTGCTCAACACCCAAAAACCACGTAAGGTAAGTGTAAGCTGCAGTTGGTATTGATCTCGCTATTGCTACTGGTATTCGTATTGATACTGGTATTGCGTCCCGAGGCCAGAGAAGTGGCCGTTTATTGTCCGGCTTCCCCAAGAGACTCTGAGAATCTTACTGCCTTGTCTCATGGAGGGGGGCCTTTAGGGTCTGGACCTCCAAGCTGGAGGCAGATACCCCCAGGCAGCAGCGAACGGGGTGGGAAGTCTTCTCAGGGCTGAAGACACGGCCAAAATGCCCTCCCGGCCCCCACTTCTCCATCTGCCGCCTCCCTCCACTCCCACCCCCCCTTTCCACAGCACTCCACACCCCGCCCCTCCACCCCATCCCTCCCCACGCCCTCTCCCCGCATCCCTGCCCCCCACCCCCTCCTTGGTCCACGGAGGAGGAGAAGGCCTCCGCAAGCACAGGGCAAGACCTGGCTGCTCTGCAGGGTCAGCAAGAGTGTGCGACTGGATTTGAGGCTGACGTTCTGGATTCAACCAAACGGGCCTTTTCATTGCTCCGAAGCACCGGGGAGTGACCGAGTCTGCCCTAGGAAGGGACAGGAAGGGAGGCTGGAAAGAGCGAGCTGGAGAGGGTGAATCACAGCGGGGAAAGACGGAACCATTTCCTGTCGGGAACCTTCCCGACAGCTCGGAGCAAGCTGGTGCCCAACGGTCTCAGCCGAGGCGGGCTCACACCCCCGCCCGGGCCTTCTGTACTCCAGAGGCGCTCCCCTGAGGCGCTTGGCCGTGGACGCCCCCACCCCCGCCCCCAGGGCCCCTGCACAGAAGTGCTTGGTTTGAAGCTCTGCTGTCCCCTTCCCGAGACTCTGAGGCCTTTGCAAACAAGGGCCCCGCATTGTCCTGTGGCACTGGACCCTGCAAACTGTGCAGCGCCCCAGAGCCGGCTCCGCCCTCCAAGGTCACAGCCGGTGAATGAACCCACCCCTCCTGCCCCAGGGCCCCCCTGCCCGCCGCTCCCCGCGGCACCTTGGGGGGGGGGCTGCTCCGTGAGGCAGTAACAAGAAACCCCAGAATCTTCCTTGTTGTGATGCAGTAGCAAACAAATTGAACACACTGGCTGAGTTTGAGTTTATTTAGAAGGTCCGTGTCTATGAGTTTGGAGTTTTCAGAAGATGTATTTATGTTAGTGACACCAAATTTCACTGCACTATGATCAGAGCATGTAATCTATATTACACCAAGCCTTCAAAACATGCTGAAACTTATTTTATGGCCTGCTATGTGATCAGTTTTTGAAAGCACAATATTCTCTAATTAGTGGATAGATGGATAGATAGATATAGAAAGAGACATATATATAGATAAAGATATGCATGTGTGCGTGCTAAGTCACTTCAGTTGCGTCCAACTCTTTGCGACCTCATGGACTGTAGCCCACCAGATTTCTCTGTCCACGGGATTTTCCAGGCAAGAATACTGGAGTGGGTTGCCTTGCTCTCCTCCGGGGGAATCTTCCCTCCCAGGGATTGAACCTGCTTCTCTTATGTCTCCTGCATTGGCAGGTGGGTCTTTACCACTATTGCCACCTGGAAAGCCCATGTGTAGATGTATGTACATATAGTTTTTTTAGGTCAGACTGGTTCCTTGTTGCTTCAGCGATCTGATGGTGTATAACAAGGCACTCCACAACTTAGAGGATTAGCACAGTTTATTTGGTTGTGATTTTGCAGCCTGGGCAGCCCTCCTTGTCCTTCCAGTGGCCGGGCTCAGCTGCGCGCGCCTGAGGGCGTGCCTCGGCTGTGGTGGTAGGCGCTCTTTCCAAGTCGCCTGGCCCTGGTCTTTTCCCGTGCCCTCCGCAGCCACCGAAAAGGCAGCTGAGCTTCTAAAGTGGCAGCCCCGGACTCCAAAAGCACAAGGACAGGCTTTCTTGAGGCTTAACCCTGGAACTGGTGGGCTATCACCGCTGCCAAACGAGATTCAAGTGGAAGAAGAACCAAGAGAAGCAGTTCATTAGGGGCTACTAATGTGGTAGTGGGGCTCCCCTGGTGGCTCAGAGGGTAAAGCGTCTGCCTGCAATGCGGGAGACCCGGGTTCGATCCCTGGGTCGGGAAGACCCCCTGGAGAAGGGAATGGCCACCCGCTCCAGTACTCTTGCCTGGAGAATCCCATGGACAGAGGAGCTTGGTGGGCTACAGTCCACGGGGTCGCAAAGAGTCGGACACGCCTGAGCGACTTCACTTTCCTTCTTTCTTTCTTAATGTGGTCGATTGGGCTTCCCTGGTGGCTCAGGCCGCAAAGGATCTGCCTGCAATGCGGGAGACCCGGGTTCGATCCCTGGGTCGGGAAGACCCCCTGGAGAAGGGAATGGCCACCCGCTCCAGTGTTCTTGCCTGGAGAATCCCACGGACAGAGGAGCCTGGCCGGCTACAGTCCATGGGTCACAAAGAGCTGGTCACTACTGAGCAACCAATACACACACACACACAATACAACAGATTACCACAACTGTATTCTTCAGCTGCTTCAACCATCAATTACTAAAAGAGGCCTATTTAACCCACACCCGCATCTCAGCAATCACGGTGGATTCCTCAGTTTCTCCTTCAGATTTGGTCAACTTTTTCCCTTACATGTTTGAGGCTGTGCATTTCTTTGCAAATGCAAAGAAATACTTTTAAAAATAACTTTTTAAAAATAATTTTTATTTACGTGTGCACTTCTTGGGGCTGTGACGAGCAGGGGCCACTCTCTAGTCGCAGTGTGCCGGCCTCTCATTGCGGCAGCTTCTCTTGTCAGGGGGCTCTGGCCCGAGGGTGCTCGGGCTTCAGGAGCCAGGGCTCGGGCTCTGGAGCGCAGGCTCAGTAGTTGTCTCACACAGGCTTCGTTGCTCTGAGGGGTGTCCCATCCTCCCGGACCAGGGATCGAAACTGTGTCTCCTGTGTCTCCTGGCAGGTGGATTCTTTACGACTGAGCCACCCCCGTTTCTTTTCGTATGGCAGTCCTTCCTTTGGGGGTCATGTTTGCTTCTTCCTGAAGCACATCATATCAGATCACCAGGGCTGCCTCAATAAAATACCACAGACAAGACGGCTTGACAACAGAAATGAATTTTCTCAAAATTCTGGCGGCCAGAAGCCTGAAATCAAGGTGTCGGCAGAGCTGGTTTCTCCCAGACCTGTCTGCCTGACTTGTAAATGGCCATCTGTGCCTTCCTGTGGTCTGCTTCCAAGTTTCCTCGTCTTAAAAGGCCCTCAGCCATGTTGGATCAAGGCCCGCCCTAAGGACATCATTGTAACTTAATCACTCTTTCAGGCCCCATCTCCAAATGCAGCCAGCTTCTGAGGTCCTGAGGGTCAGAATCTCAACACGTGTATTTCAGGGAGGAGACACAATTCAGCTCATAACATACATTTGTAGTATAAAATAATCTATTTTTATTTGTTTGAAATGCCCTTATTGTCTCCACTTTCTCAAAAGGTATTTATACTGGCTTTGCAATTCTAGGTTAATGGTTATTTTTTTCCCCTCAATGTTTTTTTTTTCCCCCTCAATTGTTTTAAGATATTATTTCCCATGAGACTTTCACTTAGGTCCTGAGGTATCGGCTCTTCATTTATGTTGTTTCTGTGAAGATTCCAAGAGATAGTACATGCAAAGTGCTTAGAGCAGTGCCTGGCCCCTGGTAACTAGTATATAAATAGTAGCTATTGGGAATTCCCAGGCAGTCCAGTGGTTGGGACTCCGCACTTTCATTGCTGAGGGCCCAGGTTCAATCCTTAGTCCCAGAACTGAGATCCTGCAAGTCACGTAAGGTAAGTAAGGGTTATTTGCTCAGTCGTGCCCGACTCTTTGTGACCCCATGGACTGCAGCCCACTAGGCTCCTCGTCCATAGGATCTTCCAGGCAAGAATGTTTCTCTCTTATCCTCTGTATCTTTGTGTTGGATTCAAGGTAATTTTTTCAGATCTATATTCCAGTTTATTCTCTTCATCTATTTCTTAATCTGCAACTTATCTATTAAGTGCCTATTTAAGTCATTATATTTTTTATTTTTAGATGTTTCATTTGGTTCTTTTTCACGCCTGCCCAAACATTTTTTAATATTCTCTTATTGTTGCTGTTGTTGTTCAGTTGCTAAGTCATGTCCAATTCTTTACGGCTCCATGGACTGCAGCACACCAGGCTCACCTATCCTTCACTGTCTCCCAGAGTTTTGTCAGATTCATGTCCATTGACTTGGTGATGCTATCTAACCATCTCATCTCATCAAATCCCCAACTGAGTGTGTGCGTGCTAAGTTGCTTCAGTTGTGTTCAACTCTTTGGGACCCTATGCACCATAGCCTGCCAGGTTCCTCTGTCCATGGGATTCTTCAGGTGAGAACACTGGAGTGGGTTGTGATTTTCTTCTCCAGGGGATCTTCCCAGCCGAGGGATCCAACCCACTGTCTCTTATGTCTCCTGCATTGGAGGGCAGGTTCTTTAATGCTAGCACCACCTGGGAAGTCCACCCCAACTGGGTACCATAAGCTAAAGACAACCAATCACGAACAGCTAACTAGACTTCAAGCTGTAGCCAATCAAACAATTTCTTTGCTTCCCACTTTCTATGTTTCCCCTGGCTCCCTTCTGCAGAGTGCCCCCCACTGGGTTGACAAGGCCCTATTAGAATTGACTTTTGCTCAAATCCTCTCAATTTTTTTTTTTAATATGCCTTCATTTATTTTTTAACAGATCATGGCTCCCAAAGCCCACCAATCACCTGGAGATCAAGAAATACCTGAGCTCCTTCCTGGAGGTTTGACTCACAATAGCTCTGGGACAGGTAAGAATTAGTAATAAGATCAGCTAACACTTAGCAAGAACTTGCTTGGGTCCAGCCACCGTGCTAAGTGCTTTACAAGTTCAAGTTCTCAGCTTACATCTTCACAATCACCCGAGATAGTTGCTATTTAAGGACCCTATTTTATAGAGGAAGAAATTAAAGCTAAAAATGGAGGGGTGGGGGAAGCTGCCTCAAATGTTATGTAACTAGTAATGGGTCGACAGGAGATTCCATCTCAGACCCAGCAATTCCAGGCCCCATCACTGTACTACATGGCTTTTTTGGGGTGGGTGGGGGGCGTTCCTGGCGATTTTGATGATCAGCCAGTTGTGGAAAAAGCCGCCCCGAGGCCCACGACACTCTTTAAAAGATGCCATCTGTTTGCAAAGTTTGGCCCTTCTTCCTCCCCACCCGCCCGCCCCCCCCCCCCAGTGTTTCTGGAATGCATAGCCTTCTCTCTAAACCTAAGACGAGCAGCTGGACCTCTTATCGACATTCCCCAGCTTTCGGGCAACGCCGAGTCCGCTTCACGAGCGTCTGGGTCTCACAGGTTGACCCAGTCTGGGAACCCAAGGCACACTCCCTCTGTACACCTGGCACTTCTGGTCCCGCCCCGTTTAGCGACATCGCCAATCCTAAGCCCATTCTTCGTGATTGACGTGGCCCCAGAGAAGTTCTAATTGGCCATGACGGGCCGCCGCACCGCCCCCCCCCCCCAACGACTCCGCCTCCCTTTCATTCTGAAAGAAAGAACCTCGGTCCCGGGAGCCCAATGAGAAGCGCCCCCACCCCAAAGGTCCCGCCTCTTTGGGCGCCGGCCCCGCCCCCAGGGCCGGGGAGATGCCCGCCTCTCGGCGCGCCGCAGTCCAATCGGGAGGCGCGCCCGTCCGGACGGACGGCAGCCGGCCCAATCCCCGGGCCTTGGGCCGCGTCGTCCCGCCCCCCCGCCGGGCCGAGCGGCGGGCGAGAGCGGGCCTCGGGGCGGCGGCGGCGGCGGACGCGGCCTGAGGGAGCGGCCGGCTGCCGCCTCGCCCGCCGCGGGGTCCATGGCCTGAGCGGCCATGTCCGGCGTGGTGCGGACCCTCAGCCGCTGCCTGCTGCCGGCCGAGGCCGGCGGGGCCCGCGAGCGCAGGGCGGGCGGCGGCGGGGCCCGCGACGCGGAGCGCGAGGCGCGGCGGCGCAGCCGGGACATCGACGCGGGGCTGGCCCGCGAGCGGCGCGCCGTGCGGCGCCTCGTCAAGATCCTGCTGCTGGGCGCGGGCGAGAGCGGGAAGTCCACCTTCCTCAAGCAGATGCGCATCATCCACGGCCGCGAGTTCGACCAGAAGGCGTTACTCGAGTTCCGCGACACCATCTTCGACAACATCCTCAAGGTGCGCGCTCCCCGCCCGCACACCTGCGCCCAGGTGCGCGCCGGCGAGGCCCCCGGGCCTCGGCGCCCGGGCGGGGACCCCGGCCCCGGCTGCCCGCGGCCCCCAGCTTCTGGGGCGCCTGCCGAGGATGCGCACCGCGTCTCCCCGACGGCCCGAGGGCCTTCGCCTCTGCTCTCCTGGGGTGGGGGGGTTCGGGGGCTCTTGAAAAGGGAAAGCCGGACTCCTTGTGGGGCGTCGGAGGGGCGAGGGCTTCAGAAGCAGGGAGGGCCTTTCCTGGGCTCGGGGTGCCATCCTTGCCCCGCCTTCCCAGTTCAGTTCAGAAGAGCGGTGTAGACGGGGCAGGAAACCGGCCGCAAGTCTCTTCTTTTAAACTGTTTATTAGGAAAATTTCCAACATATATACAGCGTAGACAAAAATAGGAGGAACAGTGGGTCCCCAGACCCCCTCCTCAGAACTTGAGCAATGTGGATGGGTCAGGGCCCCTCCTGGTTTCACCTGTTGCCCCACCCCCACCCCACCCCTTTGATTTGGAATCAAATCCCAGACATTGTATAAGTTCATTAGAAAAGATTTGTTGACAGAGCTCAGACAAGCATCCGGTGGTTGTGTTTGGTTTTTTTTTAAAATAGTTTTTTATCAAACTAAAAAGTAAAAACTCCTTAATATGGTCAGATATCCAGCCTGTGTGCAGATATCCTCCATTACCACAGAAGTGTTGTGTTTGTTTGAGAATGTAAGTTAAATCCTTGCCTTACAGTTATTAAGACATCTCACAGGTGGTGTTTCATCTCCAGGTGCTTCTGTCCCTTGCTGCATGTTTATCGATTGCTATCGGTTTGGGGGGGAGGGGGGAGTATACAGCTGACCAGGTTTCCCCTTCTAGTTTGTGTTGTGTGTGAGCCTGTGCTCAAGGCCCTGAGGGAATTCTGGAGAAAACTGATGGCTCGGGGAAAGTGGTCTCCCCTGTGCCTAGAATAGGGTCCTTTCCTTTTTTTTTCCCTCATCGTTTCTTACTCTATCCTCTTTTTGCCCCTCGGCCTACCGGTTCCCCGGCTCGTTTTGGGAAAACCAAATCACAGGTATGAGGAAAGTTGTCTCAAAACAGAGGTAGAGGCAAACTCGTCCCAGAATCCTCCCTGGAGACGCCGGGCTCTAAATTTAGCAGAGAACTGTAGAACCAACCCATTGGCACACATCTTTCACTTCACCCACGAGGACGCTCCGGGCCTTGGGGATGAGTGGAACCCGGGGCTCCACGCCTCCAGGCCCACATCAGTGATCTCGCACCAGTGTTCCCACGTGATGGATTTGTTAGTAAAACGTCTCTTGTGATAGAAATAGCTCTTTTAGGGTCCTGCCAGGAAGAGAGTCATTTGAATGATAAAACATGCCTCTCCTTTTCACCTCTTTCAAAAGCCTCTCTGTGAGTCAGAGCTCTGGCCCAATACTTCATAAACTTTAAAGGCTAGGTGCCCAGTATGATTCAGGGGATTAACTGTGTTTAAAATTCTCCTCATCTTCTGGGGTAAAGTGCACTTGATTGTCTTTGTCACAGAGCTCGATTTTACTTCTGTGGTTCCTCGGACCTCTGAACCAAGTAGGTTATAAGATTTGGCTGATCGACTCCCGGTTTCTCTCGACTTAGAAACATAGAATCTTAAAATCTGAATCAGTGTGTTAAGTGTCTTTTAGAAAACTCGGCTTTAGCTTTTCCCACTACATATAAACACTAACTTTTACTGACTTCCTTATCAACAAGAAATAAGATTTGTTAAGCAGTATCCTGTTTTCTTTGTCAAGTTTTTTTTCTAATTGTAGTTCCATATTAAATTCACTTCATCTGTTTTGACCATTTCAGTAAGTAGTTAGCAATTCATCTTTCACTCTAAAACCAGTAATTACCACTACCTGCCCCCCCTCCCATTTTTATTTGGACAGATCACATTGCGAAGGGACTTTTTAAATAAATTGCTTTGTAGAGGTTCTAGTAGCAGATATTTGAATGATAACTCTTCAGAATAATATTTGTGTCTACAAATAGAGTTCATGTTAACAGGCTATTTTTAAAGCACTAGCCATGTGCTGGGCCTTCTCATATATGGCTTTTAATTTTCATAATGCTTCAAATGGCATTGTCCGTTTAGCCAGTGGGGAAACTGAAAACAGAGTTTGAAATCTACATGAAGTTGGGTACCTAATTAACAGGTGGCAGAGCTGAGAACTGAACCCTGTCTTTTTTAAATTAAACTTTTAATACTGAGATAATTGCAGCGTCCCGTCAATAATAGAGAGCTCCTGCATAACCCTTTAACCAGCTCCCCCAAATGGTGAGGTTTTGTAGAACCAGTACAATAATAGCACAGCCGAGAAACCAATGTTGAGAAAGGGAAGATGCAGAACGTTCCCATCACAGTAAGTCTTCCTCATGTCTGTTCTAGCCACCGCCACCCTTCACCCTCTCCTTGACCTGGCAACAACTGATCTTTTCTCCAGTTCCGTGATTTCATTATTTCAAGAATATGATATAAATGGAATCTTGCAAGACGTGACCTTTTGGAATTGTCTTTTATCACTCAGCGTAATTCCCTAGAGTTGATGTGTGTCCACAAGTTACAGTCTCTGCCTTTTGACCGCTGTGGATACAGAACCCGCCTGCCAGTGCAGGAGACTCAGGAGACACCGGTTCGATCCCTGGGTCAGGAAGATTCCCTGGAGAAGGAAGTGACAATCCACTCCAGTGTTCTTGCCTGGGAGATCCCGTGGACAGAGGGGCCTGGCGGGCTACAGTACACGGGGGTCACAAAGAGTCAGACACGAATGAGCACGCCCGCATCATGGTGAGGATTTACCACCGTTCACCATTTGACCATCTGCCCTTTGGAGGACATTTGGGTTGTTTCCAGTTTCTGCCTATTATGAATAAATCTTCTGTGGACATCCATATACGTGGTTTTTGTAAGCATAAATCTTCATGTATCCGGGATACATGACTGAGAGTGCAGTCGCTCAGCTGTGTGGCAGTTGCATGTTTAGTTTTATAAGAAACTGCCAAACCGTTTCTGAGCTGGCCGGATGGTTTTGCATCCCTACCAGCAGTGTATGAGAGAGTGAGCCAGTTTTTCTGCACCCTTGCCAGCGTTTGGTGTTGTGGTTGCGTCTTGTTTCCACCGTTGTAATAGGTGTGTGAGGGCTGTATAGCTGTCGTTTTAATTTGCGTTTCCCTGATGGCTAACGGTGTTAAAGACCTTTCATGTGTTCATTTGCCTCTGTATATTCTCTCTGGTGAAATGTCTCTTTGTGCTTTTTTGTCATTGTTGTTTACTCGCCCTGTTGTGTCCGACTCTTTTGTGACCGGATGGACTGTAGCCCGCCAAGCTCCTCTGTCCATGCGATTTCCCAGGCAGGAATACTGAAATGGGTTGCCATTTCCTCCTCCGGGAGTCTTTCCAACCTGGAGATGGAACCTGCATTTCTTGCATTGGAAGGCAGATTCTTTACTGCTGAGCCACCGTTTTGTAATTAGGTTACTTGTTTCTTTATGGTTGAGTTTTGACAGTTCTTTATGTATTCTGGATACTACTCCTTTGTGAAATATGTGGTTTGTAAAAAGTTTCTCCCAGTCTGTAGCTTGCCCTTTCATCCTTTTTAACAAGGTCTTGGGCTTCCCTGGTGGCTCAGAGGTTAAAGCGTCTGCCTCCAATGCAGGAGACCCGGGTTCGATCCCTGGGTTGGGAAGATCCCCTGGAGAAGGAAATGGCAACCCACTCCAGTATTCTTGCCTGGAGAATCCTGGGGATGGAGGAGCCTGATAGGCTACAGTTCACGGGGTCGCAGAGAGTCGGACGCGACTGAGTGACTTCACTTTCTTTTCTTCTTTTTCTTCACAGAGTAAAAGGGATCCCCTGGTGGCTCAGTCAGTAAAGAGTCTATCTGCAGTGCAGGAGACCTGGGTTCAGTCCCTGGGTCGGGAAGATCCCCTGGAGGAGGAAATGGCAACCCACTCCAGTAGTCTTGTCTGGAGAGTTCCATGGACAGAGGAGCCTGGTGGGCTACAGTCCATGGGGTCGCCAAAAAGTCGGACATGAATGAGTGACTAACACTTTCACTCTTCACAGAGTAAAAGCTTTTAATTTTCATGAGGTCCAGCTTATCAATTTTTCCCATTTATGGATCATGCTTTTGGTGTCAAGTCTAAGAACTCTTTGCCTAACCCTAGGTCCCAAAGATTTTCTCCTTTTTTTTTTGTAAATTTTGTAATTGTACATTTTACTTTTAAGTCCCTGATCCATTTTGAGTTAATTTTGGTATAAGATTGAGGTTTAGATTGAGGTTTTTTTGCTCTTTGTTCTTTTCTCTGTGGATGTCCAGTTGTTCTGGGATTCTCTGTTGACAAGACTGTCTGTCCCTCCTCCACTGAGTCGCTTTTGCTCCCCTGTGAAAAATCACGTGGGCATTTTGTGTGGGTCTGTTTCTGGGTTTTCCGTTCTATCCTGTTGATGTGTGTAGCGCCTCTTCTCCCAGCTTCACTCCATGCTGATGGCAGTAGCTGTATAGAAGGCTGAATATCAAAACGATTTCTCCCACCTCATTGTTTTCAAGATTGTTCGAGCTGTTCTAGGGTGTGTGCCTTTCCTATAATTCTAGAGTAAGCTTTCCTATGTCTATTAAAACAACAACAACAACAAAACCTTGCTGTGATTTTGATCACATTTGCATTAAACCATGCATCAGTTCGGGGAGAATTGACACATCTCCTGTATTGAGTCTTTCAATTAATGAACATGTTACGTCCTCATTTATTTAGGTTGTCTTTGATTTTTTTTCATCATTGTTTTGCGCTTGTCGACAGATATGTCCTATACGTGTTTTCTTAACCTTTATACTTAAGTATTTCATTTTCTTTAGAGCTGTTGTAAGTGATACTGTGCTTTTCAATTTCCACATGCTCACTGTTAGTATATAGAGTAGGATTGATTTTGCGTCTCAATTGTGTGTCCCG